TGGGAGGGTGGATGAAACCGGCCCAGTTGAAACTCCCTGTTAAATCTAGACTTGAGAGGAAACTTTTTAACTCCTGAAATTGCTTTGGGTTAAGCTTGGCCTTTTACATTTAAAAACGGGGTTCATTTTCGTTCGCGTGAGAATCCTTGCAATGCCCCAGACCAGGGACCTCGCCATCGTTTTATTCAGGATTAACATGAAGGAGACTAGCAATGGGGAAAGGAATCGATGGGCTGACATAGCTTTTGAGCACAGAAACAATTAGAACCAGCATTTGTGGCCCTCCGTGTCTGTGCCACTTCTTAAAACCAATAGTTGTTTAGTTTAGAACAGATGTTTAGTTGGGTGACGTGTTTTTGTGTAGATATATTGCTCACAGTCCTCCGTTGTGTATCTGTGTGAAGTGAAATGCCTGACACGCACCTCTGTTCGTGTCGCTGTTGTGGTTTTTGTATTGTACATTTCAACTTGAATATATATATGAAATATTTGAAGGTGTTACTGTACACTATTTATACGTGTTCCAAAATAAAAATAAAAATCTCGGGCGACTCTTCCCTCTTCTTTTCTCTTTAGTCAGCCGGGTGTCTGACACGCGCGGAAACCCATCACTGCCCTTAGGATTCTCCGAACCAAACCGAGAATTCTATGCATCTCACGTAGACGTGGAAATTCCAGATATTTCATGGGCGAAACGCGGCAGCCAATTGCGCACAGCGGCGTCCCCCACAAACAGCCGTGGATTGAGTGACCAAACTATTCTAAATTTTTTTTTTTGGAGGGATTATTACCCCCGGAAAAGCGATCCGCCGATCGACTAACGACCGGGTTCCTACTGACTGCCGGTAAACAGAAGCGCGTGGCGTAAGGAAACTTGCCGAGGGTTTCACCCTGCCCGAGAATCGAACCCGGATCCTCTCACTTGCGAGGCGAGGGCCCTAACCACTAAACTACAGTAAAAAAAAACACACACGCTTCAGAAAAGCTCTGTACAAACCTGGTCCAACCCAGGAAGGAAGAGTGTTACGCCGGAGTGGGTGATAAACAGGGCGTGACACTATTTTGCAGATGTATCGCTTACTTTGCTAAGATTTCTCGAGTCGTAAAACTGAAATACCCTTTCCAAATCGCGCCTTCGCAAAGTTCAGTTCAATTCTGACACCATCCCTTCGGCAACGCAGGATTGCTAACACTGAGGCGCTCCCAACAACAGTTTCCTCCCCTCGATCTCCGAAGTGGCTTTCCACGGCTGACGTTAAATAGCGCCTGAAGGACCTTTGCAACTCAACCAAAGCGCCTCTTGCGAATAATAATAATAATAACAATAAGCCTTGTGTTTGATATAGCGCCTTATCTCCTGGCGGAGATGTACTCAAAGCGTTTCACAAGATTTACTGCAAAGTGGAGTGACTGTGTGCTTCGCAGGCGACGGCCGCAGCCAATTTTGCAAGCAGCAACGTCCCGCAAACAGCCACGACGTGAGCGACTGATTTTATCTGGGGGATTGTCGGCCAGGATAAGGACTGGCAGAGAGAGAGAGAAACTTCCTCCTCTTCTCGGACTGCGCCCTGAGATATTTAACATCCACCGGAACAGGCGCAGACAGGGAGCTCGGTTTAACGTCTCTTGCGGAGGGACGGCACCACTGATAACGGGATGCTCCCCCTCACAGTCAGCCTCGGGCGGTGTGAGTTTAAGGTTCTTGACCCCGCAAAGGCATAAAGGGCTGGCACCTGAGCCAGGCTGACCGTTACCTTAGTGCCCAACTACTCGCTGGGTAAATTTGCTGAGCTATTGAAGCCCGCAGTCAGTGTGGAACTGTTCTCGCAGTTGTTATGATTGCGACACGTTCATTACAACTCTGTTGAGAAATCATTTGCAGCCCAGAAATTGCAGACATCTGAGACGCGAATGTCCCACAGAAAGCCACAGCACTGCAGAGTAATAATAATCCCTGCATTTCATACAGCCCCTCATCACGTCTTCGAGACGTCTCAAAGCCCTTCACAGGAGACGCTGTAAAGTGAATTGACTGTATAGTTTGTGGGTGAAACTCGGCAGCCAATTGCGCACAGCAGCGTCCCCACAAACAGCCGTGGGTTGAGCGACCAAATTATTATTTGACATTTCATGAGGATTTTTATTGTAAACAAATGAGGAACCAGTCGGTTTCTGGAAGCAAAAACACAGCCGACTGCGGTGACTGCGAGCGCACCACCAGATGGCAACGCCTGCTAAATTATAGTTGAAACCAGGTTTTATGTGATTTCCAGGGCAGGAGAAGTGGGTATTCCTCATCTCAGTTATTCCTGAAGCTCAGGGGTTAGAGCCCTCGCCTCGCAATCGAGAGGACCCGGGTGCGATTCCCGGGCGGGTCAGGTCAGGGCGAAACCTTAGGCAAGTTTCCTTATCCCACACACACATACACGGCTCTGTTTACCGGCAGTGAGCAGGAACCCGGTTGTTAGTGGATTGGGGGATCGCTTTCCCAGGGGGTAATAATCCCTTCGAAAATAAAATTAGGTCATTCAATTCACGGCCGTTTGTGGGGGACGCTGCTGTGCGCAATTAGCTGGCTGCCGCGTTTCGCCCACAAAACACATAGTCACTCCACTTTACAGGCTATCCCGTGAAGCGCTTTGAGACGTCTCAACAACGTGATGAGGCGCCGGGTCAAATGTCGGGGTTATTATTATTATTATGTTGATCTTTCGGTCAGAGAGCGAGGTGGGTTAGGAGGGCTTTGAGGCAGCGAGAGACAGAGGGGTGAAGGGGTATCATTGCGACTGAACGCCTGACCGCTGATCACGAGTCAGGGTGAGTTGGAGGAGGTGGGGGGTTGGGGTGGGGGGACGTACGTTCGGCTTGAGTTGGAGGTGCAGAGGTTGAGCGTGGGCGAACAGGTCACAAAACCGATGGCTGTGTTTTAGTTTCCATTCCTCCAGCGCCTGGTCTGCCTCGAAGCTCTGCTCAGCCCCCTCCCCCCCCCCACCCCCCCACTCATTCAGCAGCCCTGGAGGAAGCTTGTGAAAGAGCTAGGTCTTGTGTGGAGTCAGATCTGAATGTTTCTCAGAAGCTCCGTGCAAAGAAGCACCAACCCAACCTCGAAGAGAGGCGACGTGAGGCAAACACCCACTTCCTTGTAAGGAAATAGCGGAACTTAGCTGCCTGTGCAAGGCTCGAAAGACCTGGCTTTGCAACAGAGATAACAGGAGGGAAATCAATCAAGCCCACCCTCTCCCCGACCACCGAAATCCATCTGAATTCTCCTCTCGTCTCGTTACTGCACTGACCGGACGAAGCAGAGAGAAGGCAGCCCTTGTGTGCGTGTTGGGCTGATGTCTGGTTATAGGCGGGCTACACAGGAACAAGGATGTGGGTTGGCAGACAAGCCAACAAGCCTCGCTGGTTTCCAGCCCTTACAGAAGACAAGCGCTGGGACTTTGAGCACAAAGAAATTTCTGCCTCTCCTCAGGAGAGAGAACATGTCACTCAAACTCCCACGGACTGTGAGGGACTTCAACCTGAAAACAGACTCTGGCCGAATAGGTACTGTACATCGTGCTAATAACATGGCGTCCTGCTTTGCCAACTTAGTTATCTATAATAATAATAATGATAATAATCCTTGTGTTTGATAAGGCATCTTTCACTTGTTTTTTTTTGGTCAGCCGGGTGGCTGACACACACCGAAACCCATCACCGTGGTCTCCAAACATCTTATTAATCATAATTATGCCACAGCCAATTTTCACGCACAAAAGCTGAAGACTGACAAACACAGCAGCACATTGAAGGGAAATCTGGTGCACGCAGTAAGTGATCTTGTCAGACAGCAAGCTATGTGGCTTTAGGTTCGAGTCCAGCAGCTAACCTGACGCACCCTCTGGGTTCACCCCCCACACCCCCCTCCCCAAGCTTTGGCTCTTGCCAGCTTGCGCCTAATACCCTCTGGAATTAGGTAAGTAGGAAGTATCCCTCCAGGGAACGATAGAGAGAGAGAGAAAGAGAAAGAGTGCATTCCATTCCAACAATCTCTCTCAGGGATTCCCATGTGTAGGTGCGATGCTTGAAAATCTCAGTTGGGTTTGGAGACTCTTAAGCAACGGTGATGGGTTTCCACAGGTGTCAGACACTCGGCTGGTCAGAAAAACACTTGATTGGGAGGAATATTAAGTGTGAAATTGAGTTAACTGTTACATTACGTTGGCATTAATTACAAAGCCAAGCGATCAGTTGCGAGGGGCACTCATGGAAGGGAACAGGAGAAAGTTTGTTAGGCTCGATATTTAATCTAACGCAGAAAATTATAGCCCATGATAGATTACCCTCTGCATAACAAACAACTTCCCGGTGACTGGCCTGAAGTTGCCCCCTTTTGCAACTCTAAACCCATGTCCTCTTGTTCTACTGTTCTGTTCCATCCTAAATAATTAATAATAATAATAATAATAATCCTTGCATTTGATGCAGCGCCTTATCACGACTTCAAGACATCTCAAATATTCTGTGAAGCGCTTTGAGACGTCTAGAAGACGTGAAAAGCGCTATATCCAATGCAAGAATTATTACTATTAATAAAGCGCTTCACAGAATATACTGTAAAGTGAACTGACTATATTTTGTGGGCGGAACAATCAATAAAGTATTGATCTGGGTTGATTTTTTCAATCCCGTTTAAAATATCCCCTCTTCTCAAGTTCCTCCCAACCTGATCTCTCGGACTCACAGTTTCTCTCGACATTAATACTGATCCTTACATTCGATACGGCGCCTTTCACGGCGTATCCGCCCCAAAGCGCTTCACAGGATACACTGTAAAGTGTTTTGACTGTGTGTTTTGCGGGAGAAACGCGGCAGCCAGTTTGCGCCCAGCGACGTCCCCACAGACGGCCGTGGAGTGAGTGAATGATTTTATTTGGGGGATTGTTGGCCGGGACACTGGGAAAGAGAGAGAGAGAGAGTCCCTTCTCTTTTCGAATCAGTTTAAACACCTAAATCAGTTGAGGGGATTTCCTGTCTTGAGAAGTTAGCATCGACAGACTTCACACTATCTGGGCAAGAGCACCGGCTCGGTTAACCGGTTATTAATTAATTAACCAGTTAAAGCCCATCTTCAAACGTTTCAACTTGAGATCAAGTTGAAGCCCATCTTCAAACACCACCACTGCTCCCAGTGCCCGGGAAGGGCACAGCTTCTTATCAGCGATGGCAATAATAATCCTCGCATTTGACACAGCGCATTATCGCGCCATCGAGACGTCTCGAGGCGCAGAGTATCGACTGTATGTTTTGTGGGCCAGATGATAACGAACCTTGCATCTGATACCAGGCCTTAGCCCATCAGCAGGACGTCTCGAGGTGCCTTTAAGTGCGACGGTGCTTTTGTGGGCGAAACCCATTCCAGTGTTCCTCAAACAGCTGTAAAGTGATCAACTTTATCTGGTTGTGGGTGGTTTGGGGGGTGGGGGGGGAAGGATTGTGGCCGAGGGCACGGACTGGGTGCATTTTGCACAACTTGGCAATGAATAAACCCCCAACTTCTTTTGAGAAGGTGAAACAGCCCGACATCCTAATCACGGAGTTTGAGGAGAGTGGGTTCTGACTCAGCTCACTGCCTCGGCACTTGGCTCACAGGGTAGAGTCGGGCTGGTAACAGGATGTGGATCGAGACAACATCAAGCACTTCAGAACTCAAACGCGCAGCTCTCTCACACTGCATCTCTCTGACCTACATCGCGTTGTCGCTTCCAACCCTCGCAGCGGACTTTCCCTGTGGTACGGAGTGCAGGCTTTCTTCCGCGGAGCCCGTCGAGCACGTCGTTCGCGGGGATCGAGCCCTCACGTTGGCTCAGGTCTGTCAGCCCGGAGCGACAATCGTCCCAGAGACGCAACCCTTCCATTTCAGCTTCATTCGCAAGGTCGGTTTGGTTGGAGAAGCGCTTTGAGAACTTCTGGAAGACGTGATAAGGCGTTACCTCAAATGCAGTCTGATCTGATCCTTGGGTTCGATTCCTGGTCAGGGCGAAACCGTAGGCAGGTTTCCTTACTCCACACACCGCGCATCTGCTTACCAGCAGTCAGTAGGAACCCAGTCGTTAGTCAATTGTTTTCCCGGGGTAATAATCCCCTCAAAAACAAATATATAACATAATAATGTCATCACTCAATCCACGGCTGTTTGTGGGGACGCTGCTGTGTGCAATTGGCTGCCGCGTTTCGCCCACAAAATACGCAGTCAATTCACTCTACAGTATATTCTGTCAAGCGCTTTGAGATGTCTCAACGGTCTGATAAGGCCCTGTATCAAATGCGAGGATTATCACCATTATTATTTGACTTTTTCAATCCCATTTGAAACGACGCTCTCTCTGAAGCCTGAAGAGCCTTCGCTTGTCAAATCGCCGCTCAGATGACCTGCAGTCATCACGATTGCCCAAGAGTGAATAATAAAGGTTTGAGACTAAACGCAAGACAAATTCCGTCGGCTGTCTGTGTCCGAGATAGCGAAAGTGGATCAGGAAGTGAGGTTTCTGTCTCGCGGCTTCCTGTTTACCAGACCACATGATTGGTTTGGATTACAGGAACATGGGAATACAGGAACAGGACCAGGCCATTCAGCCCTTCGAGCCTGTTCCGCCATGTAATTAGATCTTGGCTGATCTGTACCTCAAGTAATCCTTTCAATTCCAATTTCCTGCTTTCTCCCCACATCCCTTGATACTCTGATCTACCAACAATCTGTCAACCTCACTCTTGAAGGTGTGGATGGATTCAGCATCCACGGCCTTTTTGGGGGAGACAATTCCAGATTTCTACCCCCCTTTGAGTGAAAAAATGCTCCTGATTTCACTCTTAAATGGCCTGGTTCTAATTTTCATACTATGCCCCTTGTTTTGGATTCCGCACCAGAGGAAATAGCTTCTCTCTATCTATCCTAACAAATCCCTTTATCATCTTAAACACCTCAATCAAATCCCCCCTCAACCTTCTAAACTCAAGGGAACACGATCCACGTTTACACAGCCTTTCCTCGTAACTTAACCCTTTTAGGCCTGGTCACATTCTGGTAACATTCTTGTTGTTGTATTGTATTGGAGTCAAAGTCCGTGATATCGGGGCTTGAACCCACAACCTTCTGACTCGGTGGCGAGAGCGCGAATGGCTTAGTGGCTGATGGTCTGGCTGATCTTGTCTGTTTCTAGGTCGCTCAAAGAGCGTGATGCCGGGGGAAAGCAACTCAGCGTCAAACAGGCCCCCGTCCCCCAACATGTTGGACCGTCCCGTCAAGTCGGGCTGGTTGAAAAAGCAGCGTTCCATCGTGAAGAACTGGTCTCCTCGCTGGTTCGTTCTCCGGGGATGTTACCTCCTTTATCACAAGGAGGAAGATGACGGAAAGATTCAGGTAACTGACATTTGGGAACAGCCCCCTCCCCAAGCAGCCCCCCCCACCCTCCACCTTCACCCCCACCCACCCCCGACCCACACCCACCGTGCTAACGGGAGTTGAGCGGGTGCAGCGAGACAATCGCCGAGTGAGTACAGAGAGAAGTGCTTCATTTATACCTCGATCCTCCGCAGGGGTCTATTGTCCTTCAGGACTGTAAAGTCAACGAACTTCCATCCAACCCCGAGGACCCCGGCAGGTTCATGTTTGAAATTGTCCCAGGTAAGATCCTCACCACGAGCAGCAGCAACAACAACAACAACTTGCACTTGCCCAGCGTCCTTCACGCCGGGTAAGAATGCCTCCGGCTTAAATAAAAAAAAGCAACGGTCGCTCAATCCACGGCTGTCTGTGGGCGCAATTGGCTGCCGTGTTTTGGCCAAGAAACGTGCAGTCGATTCACTTGACAGCGTATCCTGAGAAGAGCTTTTGAGACGTCTCGAGGACGTGTTGAGGCGCTGGGTCAAACGCGAGGGTTACTGTTAAACGGTTCGTTCACCCGTTAAATACGCACTGTACACAGACGCCCTCCTGATCTGGAAGGCGCTGCGTCGATGGTGAAGCCCTGTGCTGTATTGTGTGTGTTGTCTCCAGGAGCGACGGGCGATCGAGAGCGGACGGGAGGTGTTCAGGACTCGTGCACCCTGATGGCCAATTCGCAGAGCGAGATGGAGGATTGGGTGAAGGCTCTTCGCAGAGCCATGGGCTCGCTGTCCAGTGGAGGTACATATCCCGATGCGGTTACCCTCCGGGGGAAACCTTAAACGGGCGCGCAGGAAGCTACCCCACAACAACAACAACAACAACGACGACAACACCTGACATTTACAGGAAAGACGTCCCAAGGCGCTGGTCGGGCAAGGGGTTCGGACCCGAGCTGGGGGTTGGGATCAGGAGGGGTGGAGGGCGGGGAGTAGGAGGGTGAGATCCTGTTCTGAAAACGACGAGGCAAAGCAAGCCAAAGGGAAAGATGTCTGGAGAGTCAGAAACACGTCTCCTCTTTCCGCCCCCCACCCCCTCTCTCTCTCTCTCTCTCTCTCAGCCGTGTTTGGCCAGCGTTTGGCACATACAGTCAGCTACGAGCAGAAATTCGGGCAGCACTTAGTACCCATCGTTGTGGAGCAGTGCGCGGACTTCATACGAGAGCACGGGCTGAACGAGGAGGGAATCTTCAGGCTCCCTGGTCAGGACAACCTGGTCAAGCAACTGAGAGACACCTTCGACTCTGGAGAGAGGCCCTCCTTCAATCAGTAAGCAAACGACTAATATGTCACAAGGATTATTAATAATCCCTGTGCTTGACGCGGCGCCTTTCATGTGGGGCCGTCTCGAAAAGCTTCGCAGGATCCACTGTAAAGCGTAGTGGCTGTGTTTTACATACATTGAACCCGCAAACAGCTCTGAAGTGAGCGACTGATGTTATCTGGGGGGGGGATTGTCGGCCAGGACACCGACTGGGAGACCGAGAGAGAGGGAGGGGGAGAGGGAGAAATTCCCTTCTCTTTTCGACCAGCGCTGAGGGAGATCTTTAACGTCCACCTGAACAGGGCACAGACGGGGAGTGAGGTGCAGGGCACCTCTGTAAACACTGCGCTCCCCCACCCTGTGTTGTGCCGTATTATTCTGAACAATAATTAGGAAGACGGCAGTTGGCATATATCAGTATTCCGGGAGGGGGGAGATCCAATGCGCCTTAATTTCCAATCAGACAAACCTGCAAACCTTCACCTCCATATTAAAGCACTTGCCTTTAGAATATTTGCCCCTCTCCGCACCCCCCCCCTCTCTCTCTCTCCCTCTTCCCCCACCCCCTCTCTGTCACTCTCTCTCTCTCCCTCTCTCGCACTAACTCACTCTTTCTGTGCACGCATTTTCCTTTTACGAGGATGGGATTATAAATGGGGTACTGGAGCAGCGGCCAAGACTGTGAGCTCAAAGCCCCGATGTGGGGGCTCGAACCCTACATCCTACTGATTTAATGTGTTTTTAACGCCAACCCTTATGTTCCAGGGACACTGATGTGCACACAGTGGCCTCCTTGTTCAAGCTCTACGTCAGAGAACTCCCGGAGCCTGTCGTTCCCTGGGCTCAATACGAAGATTTCCTGGCGTGCAGTCAGATAATGAACGGTGACGAAGACGGGGTAGGTTAGCCTTCCAGGTTCATCCTTAATAATATTATAATAATATAATAATATAATAATAATAATCCTTGCATTTGATACAGCGTCTTTGAGACGTCTGAAGCGCTTCACAAGATACACTGTAAAGTGTAGTGACTGTGTTTCTGTGGGTGAAATCTCTCTCTCTCTCTCTCTTCCCAGGGTCAACAGGAGCTGGTGAAACAGCTGACTTTATTGCCTCAAGTCAACTACAATCTGCTGTGTTACATTTGCAGGTGCGTGCTGACCTGTGGGTGTGTGTGTGTGTGTGTATGTGTGTGAGTGTGGTGTGTGAGTGTGGTGTGTGTGTGTGAGTGTGGTGTGAGTGTGGTGTGTGAGTGTGGTGTGTGTGTGTGTATGTGTGAGTGTGGTGTGTATGTGTGAGTGAGTGGTGTGTATATGTGAGTGAGTGTGGTGTGTGTGTGTGTGTGTATGTGTGAGTGTGGTGTGTGTGTGTAATTGTGAGTGTGGTGTGTGTGTGTGTGTGAGTGTGGTGTGTGTGTGTGAGTGTGGTGTGTGTATATGTGAGTGTAGTGTGTGTGTGTGTGTGTGAGTGTAGTGTGTGTGTGTATGTGTGAGTGAGTGTGGTGTGTGTATGTGTGAGTGTAGTGTGTGTGTATGTGTGAGTGTGGTGTGTGTGTGTATGTGTGAGTGTGGTGTGTGTGTGTGTGAGTGTGGTGTGTGTATGTGTGAGTGTGGTGTGTGTGTGTGAGTGTGGTGTGTGTATGTGTGAGTGAGTGTGGTGTGTGTGTGTGCGTATGTGTGAGTGAGTGTGGTGTGTGTATGTGTGTGTGGTGTGTGTGTGTGTGTGTGAGTGTGGTGTGTGTGTGTGTGAGTGTGGTGTGTGTGTATGTGTGAGTGTAGTGTGTGTGTGTGTGGGGAGGAGAATACACTTAGTACTCACTGGAGGGAATCCCGAATTTGACTGTTTCCGACTCTCTGGAACGCTGTTTGAGATCGGATCTCAGTCACACGATCACACACAGTTAAGTAGGAACCCGGTTGTTAGTCGATTGGGGGATCGCTTTTCCGGGGGAAATAATCCCTTCAAAAAAAAAAAAAAATTGGTCACTCAATCCACGACTGTTTGTGGGGACGCTGCTGTGTGCAATTGGCTGTCGCGTTTCGCCCACAAGATATACAGTCACTACACTTTACAGTGTACTCTGTGAAGCGCTTTGAGACGTCTCGAATGGGTCAAATGCGAGGATTGTAGGATGATTATATACCAAATGCAAGGTTTAGCATCATGTCTCTCTGTCTCTCTCTCGTTTCTCTCTCATCTGCACAGGTTCCTCTACGAAGTCCAGTTACATTCCAACATCAACAAGATGAGTGTGGATAACCTGGCCACCGTTATTGGGGTCAACCTCCTGAAACCAAAGATTGAGGACCCCGTGGCTATCATGAGAGGCAAGTGGGCGGCTATTGGGAGCCACTGACGGTGGCTGTGCTTTCTCTCTGCCACCAGACCCCGAAGCTCTGGAACTCACCGACAAATCACTTCACGCCCCCGACACATCCCTAACCTTCCCCAGTCTGCTCACGCCTTCCCCCCCACTGCGCCCCCGTCCGTCCGTTCAGCCCGATCCGACCTTCCTTCACGTCGCTCGTTCCCTGCGCTCAAACATCTTCCTGCCGTTCCTTTAAAACCGCCAAAACCCCAAAACTCCCCCTCACTCCCGCTTTGCCCGCCTTCACCCCGCACCTGAAGACCTTCCACTTCCACCTCCACCGTGCCTTTGGTCACCTCACCTCTCGCCCTGGCACCGCCCTACCTCTCCGACCTGCTTACCCCCCTCACCCCCATCAGCCCTCCACTCAACTGGCTCCGGCTTCCTGCTTGTCCCTCGCGCCCTCTGCACCACCATCAGTGGCCGCGCTTTCAGTCACGGCGCCCCGGGACTCTTTGAACGCTCTCCCTCTGTCCCTCCGCCTCGCCCCCTTCCTCCCCCATCTTGAGGGTCGCTGCGAGACATTACCCCGCGTGAGGAGCACGTTGTAAACACGTTGTTGTCGTTGTTGACGTTGTTGTTGTTGACAGGCACACCCCAGATCCAGAAGCTGATGACCGTGCTGATCAGTGATCACAAAACCTTCTTCCCAAAGCACAAGGACAAAACACCGTCCCCAACCCACCAGGCGTCTGATGGCAAAAAAGGCCCTGTCCAGAGAAGCTCAGTGGGCTGGGACGCTGCGGAGATGTCAATGGGGGGGACGAGTGAAATGCACGTGGTATGAATTATTCACCGGACGGGCGGGTGGGCTGGGGGAGGGAATGGGATTCCACGCCTCTGATTCACTCTCTCTCTCTCTCCCTCTCCCCTCGTCTCAAGACTTACCCCTATGACCCCACTTTTAGTTCCCTTTCCCCCTCCTCGCCAGCAAGTATTGGCGCTCTCACTTTAGTTTGGATGCTGTTAATAATAATAATAATCCTTGCATTTGATACAGACCCTCATCACGTGTTCGAGACGTCTCAAAGCGCTTCACGGGATACACTGTAAATATACTGTTAAGCAGTGCTTTGTCCACAGTCACTACACTTTACGGTGTATCCCGTGAAGCGCTTTGAGACGCCTTGAAGACGTGATGAGGCGCTGGGTCAGATGTGAGGGCTATTAGATTATAATATTTACTGATTATTATAACCGAGAACGATGCCACTCTCCTGCAGTCCCGTCAAATTGGTATCTCAACGGTGAACATCACGGAGGCTTCCCAGCAGGAGAGCAGCTGGATCGAAAGTCCCAGGAAAAGGACCCAGACGCTGCCGGCCGGCAAGTGCACCTTGAGCTCGGTCAAGGAGATGAACGGGGTGAAGACTGGGGGAGACCTCAGCAACTGGGGAGCGTTGGCTGGAGACGGGGCGGGCAGGGCTGAGCTGGGGGAGAGTCAGAAGCAGAAGAATCAGAGGTTCTCGGTTTATGAGAGTGTCCCAACTCAGGGGCCAACTTCCAACTCAGCTGACGTGGCCGGAGAGGTTTACACGGCGCCCAAGCCAGCCAGGAACCCGCTCCCAAAGACTCAAAGCTTTTCGGCGCAGGGACAGGATCAGCCAGAGGACCGGGAGACTCCGGAGGGAGCGGAGGTGGATCTGGAGGGGATGGGGCTGGAGGAGATGCAGAGGGAGCTGTTGGTCCTCAGGCAGGAGATGAACAATCAGAAGAAGACCATTGAAGGGTAAGAGGCGAAGCACAGACTGGTCCCCCCCTCCCTACCGTAAAAAAGGAAGGTCTTTAGGCGGGATTTGAAGGAGGGGGAGGCAGGGAGGGAGGGAGGAGGCGAGGCGGAGGGATTGAGGGAGAGAGTGACAAAGTTTCGGGGCGCGGTGGCTTAAGTCAACGTGCTGTCCATATCCCGGCCACATTTACTGATGTGCTTATGCACACCCCAAACTCTCCTACGCTCGTGATAACTCGTCCCCTGAGCCCTTTGCTCTCGGAGTGACCCGGTTTAATCGGAAAATTTTACCGTAACAATCCTTGTGTTTGGCGCAGCGCCTTTCCACGTGGGGAGGAGGTCTCGGTCGGTGGGCAGCCCATTGGCACACAGGAACGTGCCCACAAAGAGCGTTCTGTAGACGTCTCGAAGACGCGATGAGGCGCTATATCAAATGCCAGGAGTATTATAAGTATGGAGGCGAGTGAGCTTGTGGGGGGGGGGGGGGGAAGGAGTGCCCGTCGGCCAGTGTCCTCCGTGGCTGGAAAATCCCGATCCAGGAACGCGAGGGACTGACTGACTGACGATCGGCTCCTGCTTTTCTCTTCCAAGACTCGAGAAGGAGAACTACGAAGTCTGGGCGAGGGTTGTTCGTATGAGCGGAGAGTTGGAGGAAGAGAAGAAGAAATACGCAGGGCTGGAGATCAAGCTGAGGAACAGGGTGCGCGCACAAGAGGACGCAGAGAGACGCAACCAAGTGTTGGAGGAAGAGATCAAAGACTTCTGTAAGATTCCCAGCGACACTGAGTCTTAAGATTTAAGCACCTGGTCATGCTGTGGTTATGATTCTTCCTGGGCCTCCCTCCTTCCCTCCCTCCCTCCCTCCCTCCCTCCCACGCTCCCTTTCTCTCTCCTCCTTTCACGAGGGAAAAAAAACCAAACGACTCTCAAAGCACTTTTTTCCACCCCTCTGCTGTGTGTAATTTACTGTCGTCCCGATGTCCTCGCTGGACAAGCAGTGAGAAACTTTGCCAGACAGCGCTCTCTCTCTCTCTCTTTCAACGGCAAGCTCTGGGGTCTCAGCTGGTTAGACTCCAGCAGTTACCCCCAACGCACCCTCTTGAGGTCCCTCCACCCAATTTGGGGCTTGATAAAGCAGAGCTGGGCGTCCAAACAAAATTCCTTCCTGCTGCCCGTGTGGACGAGCTGGGGTGGGACGGGAATGGTGGGGAAATCAGGGTCTCCCTGGGTGGGGGTGGGGGGGGGGGTCGGGGGGTTGAAAGGATTTGGTGAAAACAGAGCAGGTTCTTTTGAATGGTATTTTAAATGGTTTCCCAATTGCGTCCAGCTGTGGGTGTGTGGGTGACGTGCCTTTATCCTTCTATCCACCAGATGGGGCCACACCCCTGCGACATAGGTCTCAATCGCTCCACAAAAATGGTCAATTCACGATCCCCAATTAATCAGAAGCCGTGCATTTGATAATAATAATAATAATAATCCTTGCATTTGATATAGCGCTTTTCACGTCGGGAGGACGTCCCACAGCGCTTCACAGAACACACTGTAAAGTGAATTGACTGTATATTTGTGGGCGAACGCGGCAGCCAATTGCGCACAGCAATGTCCCACAAACAGTCGTGGATTGAAAATGACCAATTTATTATTGATACAGCGCCTTATCATGTCACCGAGGTATCTCAGGCTCCACAGGATATTAATGCGAGTGCTTTAATGACTGTTTTGTAGGCGAGCGCGGCAGCCAATTTGTGTAAAGAAATGTCCCACAAACAGCCGCGAAGTGAGTGACTGATTTTATCTTATGGGGGCGGGTGGGGGGGGGAATTGTCAGCCAGGACACCGACTGAGAGAGAGAGAGAGAGAGAGAGAGAGAGAAACTCCCTTCTCTTTTCCAACAGCGCTGCGGGAAATCTTTAATAATAATATATAATAAAAATAATCCTTGCATTTGACACAGCGCCTCATCAGGTCTTCGAGACGTCTCAAAGCGCTTCACAGGATACACTGCAAAATGAATGGACTGTGTGTCTTGTGGGCGAAACGCGGGAGCCGATTGCGCACAGCGGCGTCCCCGCAAACAGCCGTGGATTGAGTGACCAAATGATTATTATTTTTTGAAGGGATTATTATGCCCGGAAAAGCGATCCACCAATCGATCGGCTAACAACCGGGTCTCCCTTACTGTTTGGTAAACAGAGGCGCGTGTGTGTGTGTGTGTGTGTGTGTGTGTGGAGTAAAGAAACTTGGCTAAGGTTTCACAGGTTTAACATCTCATTCGAAGGACAGTGCCTCCGACGATGTGTCGCTCTCTCCCTCTCCTCCCGCAACCCCCCCCCCCCCCCCACCAAGCACCGAACTAGAACTAGAGCATCAGTCAGCCTAGGCTGGACCGCACGCACGGGCTCCCCACAACTGGGGGTTTCTAAAATAAGAAAGGTCGCACAAATTGACCCTGGGGGGTATCTTGAAGGCTCGAGCCTGCTGTGCGGCACGTCTCCGCAGTCTGCGAGCTTATTTTGTAAACAGGCGATCTCTGGGCTAAATCTGGGCTCTCAGTGAAGGATCATGCTTCGGGGGCAGTCAGTCGGTTAAAAATAGCTCGCAGACTGTGTGTAAACTTGTCCGTTTGGCTTTCTGCGTGCAGAGCTGCAGAACAGCTCCAACAAACATGCAAAGCGGCTTTCATCTGAGTGGTAAGGGCTCTGCCCTCTCCCAAAACAGGACACTGTAACATGCCGACGAGTTCCAGGCGAGGGAAACATGTCACACGCACGTAAGGGGAGCTCTCTGTTAGAAGACAAGCGAGCACAGACACTGTGACCTGCCTTGAGATAAAATAAACTTGATGGAAATAAATAGCTCTACAGTCCATTTGACAATATTTCCATCTGAGTTGCCAGCAATTCTCACCATCTCTTAAGCTCTCTTTTACATCTACTCCTGTTTACCATAGACTTACACCCCCTTGTTTTGTTTTGTTTTGTTTTGGTTGCCCAGCCGGGTGTCTGACACACACAGGGACCCATCGCCGTTGCTTAAGAGTCTCCAAACCAACCATGCATCCCACCCCCACATGGAGATCCCAGAGATTTATTGTTGGCATAGAATGCGCGCGCGCTCTCTCTCTCCCCCGCACTGTGCTTACCTAATTCTGGAGAGTATTAGGCGCAGGTTGGCAAGAGCCAAGGCTTGGGGGGGGGAGCCCAGAGTGTGTGTTGGGGTTTTAGTCTAACCAGCTAAAACCCCATGGATTCACAACGTGCCAACATCCACCTTACCAAACCCTTTCATAACCTTAAACGCCCTGATCACCCTGGAGAGAAAAGCACCAACTTGTCCAATCTTTCCTGATCTTTCTCTCCACCCATCCCTGGTAGAATCCCAGTAAATCCCCACCCTTTCCAACGCTAAAATATCCTTCCCGAGGCCTGCACGACAGACATGGGAGAGGGAGAGACAAATAATTGTAGGATATTCATAAATATAATAATCTGTATCTATTTGATATGGTGCCTTTCACATCAGGACGATCGTAGGCACGGTCGAAGAGGAAGGTCTTGAGGTGTGACCTGAAGATGGGGAAGGAAAGTGGACTTGGGCGGGAGGGGGGGGCGGGGGGCGAGGCGGAGGGAGAGAGGGAGAGTGTGCCAGAGTTTCGGGGCGCTGTGGCTGAAAGCGCGGGCCACCGATGGCGGAACAGACGGCACGAAGGACAAGCAGGAAGACTGGAACCAGCGGGTAGTGGGTTGGGAACGATGTGTGCCCCTTATCCACATTCCCCAAGAAAAGAAAACCAATGAGCAAACGAGTCACCATTCTGTCCCTCTCCCAGTTTGGTGCATTGTATTTTTTTCCCTTAACAGGAGTGCGAGTTGCGTCCTGTTATCTCGTGTAAATATCAGCTGACGGATATAGCAGGAGGATTCCAGCCCAGCTTCGATAGCGTATCAGGGCTTGAGCGTGCATTCCAGGCATCAGCAACACGCGGACAGTGTGACATGGCAAAGATAACATGTCCAGCCCATCTCTGGCTCGGCATCAACCGTTGGAACGCACCCCCCCCCCCCCCCCATCACCGCGCGGATTCCCAACTCCCACCTCTCAGCAGGAATTCACCGTCAACGATTATCCCAATCTTTGAGCAAGTTTTTCTTCACCCGGAGAGGAGTTAACATCGGCCCGCAAAACATCACAGTCACTACACTTTACAGTATATCCTGCATCAAATGTAAGGATTATTATTATTATTATTAATGACTGGGATTTATTTTGCCCGGCCGGGTGTCTGACACACGCGGAAACCCATCACCGTTGCTTAAATGTCTCCAAACCCAACTGAGAATTCCAGGCCTCCCACCTACACATGGAAATCCCTGAGGTAGATTGTTGTAATGGACTGCGCGCTCTCTCTCTCTCTTTCCGTGCCGGGACCCATCCTGCTTACCTAATTCCGGTGAGTATTAGGCACAGGTTGGCAAGAGCCAAGGCTTGGGGGGAGCCCAGAGAGTGCGTTAGAGTAACTCCTGGAGTCTAACCAGCTAAAAACACAGGGTTGCCAGGACCGGTGGTGGAGGCCGGTCAGCTCGATGCTGTGATGGGGGGGCTGATAGGCTGGGTGTTCTGGAGGGATGAGACCAGACGGGCTGAAGACTAAATTGTCACCTCTAACGCGGCTTCAGAAGCCGTGTGGCTGGGTGGGGGCCGCTGTCTATCAGACCCTGATTGATGTTGGTACAAAGGCAGAATTTCCATTCACTCACACTATGATTCAGTCACTCTGCAAACCGACCTGGTTATGTTTCTAGTGAGTCAACGGGATGTGACTTAACCTTGCAGAGGAGCCGCCTTGTGGGATATCCCAGTGCCCGGCAAATACTTTTTTACCCTCTTAAAGGTGCAACCGAGTAATCTCCCAGGACACTATGACTAAGCCAGGAGAATGCCTTCACCGTTTTATGGTTTGACTCCCGGGCGGGTCAGGGCGAAATCTTAGGCAAGTTTCCTTACTCCACACACACACACACACACACACACACACGTCTCTGTTTACTCAGCAGTCAGCAGGAACCCGGTTGTCAGTCGATCGGTTGATCGCTTTTCCGGGGGTAATAATCCCTTCAAAATAAAATAATAATTTGGTCACTCAATCCACGACCGTTGTGGGGACGCTGCTGTACACAGTTCACTACACTTTACAGTGTATCCTGTGAAGCGCTCTGAGACGTCTCGAAGACGTGATAAGGCGCTGTATCGAATGCAAGGATCGTAATTACCAGAGAAGCTTTTATTATGTAAGTATATATGGCCAGGGTGCTTTCGGAATTTAGCAAACTTTGGGGGTTAATGATATGGTCGCCAGTCAAAGCCTCCACTGAGGGGGAAACGCCAAGTGACTTGTGAAGCTGGGAGGTGGCACTTTAAGTAGACCCGAGTGACTGAGTGAGTGAATGAATGGGTCAGTCAGCCTCTCAAGTCAATGATTCCTTTGAACGAGCTGGTGTGGAAACTAAGTTAAGTAAGCAGGAAACTGTGCGCAGTGCAGAACACCACCTGGCCGACAATCCCTCTCGCAGTCACTGGGACGCGCACACTCACATGTACACACACACACACACGCATACACACACACACACACACACACAGGGCTGCCGAACATTCAAGCCACTTGCTGCACAACCCACGCACACGGTCTCATTGCATCTCGTTACTTCCTTGGTTTCATGTCTCAACTGAAGGAACAGCACCTCCGACAATGCAACCAATGCCCCCCACACCCCCCCCCCCCCCCTCTCCCGCAACTGCATTGGAGCATCAGCCTAGACTGGGAGCTTAATGTGGGGCTCGAACCCACAAAACTCTTGACTCGGAGGCGAGCATGTTTAGCGCCTGAGCCAGGCTGTTAGTCGGAGCAGAAAAACCCACACAGAAGGACCATACCTCAGTAAGAAGAGGGAGTCAAAGGTCTTGGGGGAGGAAGGAGAGGAAAATAGCAGAGATGTTGTTGTGTTTCGCAGTGCTCACATTCCAAGGGGTTCAAGCGACTTATAATCTGCCTGAACCTTGCTCTTGCCTTCGACAATCCAAATACTCAACATCAATGGGAGAAGGCCAGTGGGTTTAAGTTAAAAATAAAACCAGAATAAGCTCTAATTACATTTCCCCGGTTAACAGACAAACAATTTGTGACTTTCTCACACCCACCCGCTCCTCGGTCAATACATGGGACCCGGCCAGGAACAGAGCAGCTATCTCTGACTCCAACCACAGTCACAGGCCCACAGGGGCTGTCACTTGCGATGCTTCCCGGCTGTCGTGGGTCTGAACGGTCCTCAATAATAACCATCACAATAACACTGACACTCCCTGTGCTTCACACAGCGCCTTTCACGTCAGGAGCACGTCTGAACGCGCTTCACTGTGACATGTAGTGACTGGGTATTTTTGCGGAATGATTGATTTTATCCGGCGCGCGGGGGGTGGGGTGGGGGCCGGGGGGGGCTGGGGATTGTCGGCCAGTACCCCGACTGAGAGAGAGAGAGAGAGAAATTCCCTTCTCTTTCCCAGCAGCGTTTTGGGATCTTTAACGTCCACTTGAAAAGGGCGCAGCTCGGCTTAACATCTCATCCGAAGAATAGCAGCTCTCCCCCCAGCACTGCACCTGGAGCGTCGGCCTCGAGGGTCAGCTCAGTCCCAAAGGGGGGCTTGAACCCAAAAGCTGCCTGACTAAGCTGATTATTATTCATGTATATAAACCTGTGTCCATGAATGTACATGAAGCTCAGCCCCAGCTCGGGTGCAAACCCTTGACTATCCGCAGTTGTGGATTAAGCAACCAAATTATTATTATTTATTTATTTTGAAGGGGTTATTACCCCCGGAAAAGCCATCCGCCAGTCGACTAACAAGCGGGTTCCTACGGACTGCTGGTAAACAAGTGGCGCGCGCGTGTGTGTGTGTGTGTGTGTGCGTGTGTGTAGTGAGGAAACCTGCCTAAGGTTTCACCCTGTTTTGCTCCTGTTGCTGTCGTCCTCTTGACGTGAAAGGCTCCGTATCACAACGCACAGATTATCATTGTCACAAAATCTGCATCAAATCTTTTTGCTGTTTGAGGGGGGTGGGGGGAGGTGGGGGGGGGTGGGGGGAGGTTTCAGACAGAGCTGTGAACCTGACATGGGTTTTGTCAACTCGGATATTGACAGTCAATAGCTCGAAACCCACAGCGGCCCTCAAGCAAACACAGCTCGAGGCTACTTGGGATGGTATTTGGTTGAAGTGGGTCAGGCCCATCTCACGCCAAATCGTGCACAGAAATACTCAGCGGACCAGCTTCCTTATCGCCCGGGCTGGCTGGCTTTGCCTTACATGTGTAAAGAGAACGGGCTGCGAGTCAGTCTCCGGTTGGAAGGGACGAAGAGCAGGAGATTCTACGTCACTCTCACTTCCCCAAGAATCTGACAGGTTTGCAGCACAGTATCAATAAACTGACAGGTTCCATCGTCTCTCTGCTCCGACACCTGCTTATCTCCTGCGGTTACGACATTGGCAGTGTTGGGAGAGCGTGTGACAACGCAAGGTGGATTGATCAGCACTGGAAACTTTGCTGAAATCCGTGTGAAACGACCTGAGCAGAGGAATTAAAGGAGAAGGGAGATGGGTGTTTTGTGTGTGTGTGTGTGTATGGGGGGGGGAGAGGGGGGGAGGGCATTAAAATATGACTGGAATTAATACAACTTGTGCCTTATCTTTAAGGTTTTGTAGACCTGAAACCACAGATAATTTTTCCACCCAATTTTTCCGCAATGGCTTTCAGCAAAGCTGAGCAATGATACTGATGGCAGTTTCATTGTTGGAAGTGGGTTAATTCTCTTATTTTTGCACAATTGCCTCCGGATTCTCTGCTGATCGCAGAAAACAGCACTTTACACGTTTAACGGGTTTAACCACGCTGCGAGGAATTCACTTATCTTTCTTATCAAACCCCAGAAATTGGAAATACCACTCGATTAAAATAAGCATCGCAGCTAATGGCTGCATTGTCGGGTGAGACGTTAAACCAAACTCCCCGTCTGTGGCCCTGTTCAGGTAGACTTTAAACATCTCCCGCGGCGCTATTTGAAAAGAGTTTCTCCCAGTCAGTGTCTTGGCCGACAAAACCCACCATCAAATTGGTCACTCACTTTGTGGCTGTTTATGAGACATTGTTGTGTGCCAATTGGCTGTGGCATTCGCCTACAAAATACACAGGCGTTAGACTAACCAGTAGATCCCGTGAAGCGCTTTTGTGGCTTTGAAATTAGTGTTTATACAGCGCCCTTCACATAAAATAATGTCTCGGAGCGATTTACAATAACAGGGTTGGGTAAAGAAAAAGGCAGAGAGAGAGAGAGAGAGAGAGACTATCAGTGTGGTCAAAGTGGTAGGTTTCAAGGCTGCATTTAAGAATTTGCTGATTTCTAGATGTTCTCAAACGTTGTTGCCAGTAAATCTCGCCTCACGTGGAATTTCACCCCATTGCTTAGGTCAGACGTATTGAACACATTTCCCCAATTCCCCATTTCCTCCTTCCGAAACTGTTTATTTCACCCAACTGTCGAGAAACACAAGACACAGGAGGAACTGAACTGAATTTCTACCCCAATTGATCAGCCCTCTCTACCCACAACAGAGATTCTTCATAACTTTCTGATGTAGCACTGAATTATAGACACAATTCATTTTGCCCACAAAATGCACAGTCAATTCACTTTACAGTGTATCCTGTGAAGCGCTTTGAGATGTCTCGAAGACGTGATAAGGCACTGTATTATACAAGGATTATTATTATTATCCCCACACGCACACGCGCACACCCTCCCGCCCCCTCCCATTCAGTCCTCAATGAAATGCACACAGACTCCGGAGCAAATGAAGATTCAGAGTTTCAGTTGACTGTTCCTCAAAAGGTTTATTTGTGCGATGGAATTTCATGAGTTTAACAGAACGAGCGAGGAGACCTCTGGGTGACAACACAAGGGGGTAACTGAATGCTCAGGCGCTCAGCCTGCATTGGCAGAGCAAAAGATTCCAACTCAAGCAATATTTCAGAGTCTGTGATGAGGAGGAGGCGAGGAATTGTATTAACTTTCTTCTGAAATAAAATCTCAACATTTCCAAAGCCTCTCCATACTTTTAAGCACAACGTGATGGGTAACGATGGCATTGTTAAGGGTTATTGGGGGGAACGCTGGCTTGGCTGAGTTACGCAAGCCCAAATTCGACAGGAACTAGCTTGGCTAACAGCAAGAAGCATGTCCTGTGGATTGTCAGTGTAGTTTCAACTCTCTCACTCAATTCCAGTTACAACCCCTGGTAAAGCCAGGACTCCCACCATCATCAGTCTCCAAAACAATGCAGCCATGTCCCGTTTGACCTTGAAGCCAGGGCAGTGTTGGTGATGTCCTCCGTGCTTCAGTGATGAGCTGAGAAAGCGACCAGCGAAAAGAAAGTGGGATTGATTACCCTTTGAAACGGGTGAGTGTCACTCGCCTCGTTAATACAGAGCGGGGGGGGGGGGGGGGGCTGTCTGCACCCCGGAGCTTTGCGATTCTACACAAACCAAACAAGTTAAAGTCACAGAAACTACGTACAGATTCCATTGCAAACGATGAATGACTGCATTTCGTGTGAGGCCCCAGTGAAGAGCAAAGAGGATGATCCCCGATGTTAGAGGAATGAGCTGCAAGCAACGATCAGACAAGCTCGGGCTCTTCAGTCTTGTGAGGCCATGTCTCAGGAGGGGACCTTGTAGAGGTGTCTACAACGTTAAATGGGATTGAGAGCGGAAAACCCAGAACAATACTTTCTGATGGACTGAGACAGCAGAACAAAGGGGGCACAGGTTTTGAGTTGTAAAGGGACAATTTCAGGACAGACACCAGGAAATGTTCCTTTACCCAGAGGGTGATTAACGACTGGCACAGGGTGGCCAGGAAGGGGGTGGGGGTGGGGGGTTTGAGGCCAGGACACTGGGACCCGTTTTAAAAAAAAACAGCTCGATGCTGTGATGGGGGACGGTAAGGCGGGGGTTTCCGAAGTGATGAGATCAGATAATAATAATAATAATAACAATCCTTACATTTGATCAAGCGTCTTATCACGTCTTTGAGACGTCTCAAAGCGCGTCACAGCCAAAGAGGCCTTCCTTCTTCATCCGAACCCATCTGGGGATCATAAAGTTACTTGGAGCCCCCAAAAGAACTGAAACCGGCCAGAAAACGGGAGAACGGTAACTGTGAACGTTACAGCCCTCAAAAGCGTGTCACCGTCAGGAAGGGCGGGTTGGAATTACTGACTGGGAAAATTCAGCTTTTTTTTTTCCTTCTTCACATAAACAGCGTCGCCAGCCCCTGGAAGGTGGGCTGTGTCCGCTGCCACGTGCCTACGGTTTATTTGGAGAACAATTTGTTAACATTCGCTACCAGACTGGGTCTAGACATCGTCTCCGCTCACTGAGAACAACACTGTCTGACCCACGGAAGCCAGTGGCTCTGTGAACTACAGCTCACTCACTGCCTGTGCTATTGTGGTCAATTGTCAATGGGGTTCACGCTGCATTGCCTTCACGTTGCATTGGGCTCTGCGTTTTTTTCCCTGTGGAAATCCCACATGTATTGCCGCAGCAGTTGGCCATAAATCACCAATACTTTTTATAAGGATCAAAAGAAAGAGAGAGACAGAGGGAGACAGAGAGAGAGCAAACAGCCAGATCATTTCTGTACCAAGTTCCGTTTGGTTTTCAGAAAACCTCGGCTATTTTTACGACCAGTTTCTGTGACTTTACGAGCAACACCTTTTTTCGGGGAGCAAGTTGCAAATAATTAACACCAGGGAAACTCACTTATAAATCTATAATTCTATACACCAGATCCTTAAATAAGCATCTTAAATAGGAAGGCTGAGAAATGTACACATTTACAGTACGGGTTCATTAAATACTTTTAACAAATAAAATATATTAGGGTCCTGTTTCTCTGGGCTCCTTGCTGTACTATCTGCAGCCGCACTCCGCCACCATCATACCTTCGTACTTGAATTTGTATGTGACCACGCCAGCATCGTCCAAGTACAGGATGGAAATGGGCTCCAGTTTTGTGGGTACGCAGCAGGCCTTGGCTGCTACTTTGGGGTTGTGGTGGTTCACCAGAGTCTGAACGATGGCGTGCTGCGTCGGGGTGACTTGCTCAGTCAATGGGTAATAGCAGAGACCCTTGCACTCGTAAGCTTCGTAGCCCGTCGGGGCTATGATCCAGGAATCCCACCCGATCTCCTTGAACTCGACGTAAAGTGGGCTTCTCTTGCAGTAGTTCCTCTTGGCGTTCCTCCTGGTCCTCGAGGACGTGTCGTAGAGCATGTTCGAACGCCTCTGGAGCAAGGCCCCCTCGTTGAGGCTGACCCTGATATTCCCGGCGTTGACGTTCTTGAAGGCCACGTCCTTCTCGTGGCTGATGATCTCCCCCAGCTCCTCGATGGCCTCCTTCTTCAAGCTGTTCCTGTCATCAGAGTAGACGATCAACAGGGGAACGTGCTGGGGGTCCAATTCCACGGCTACCCCCAGGTTCCGCTGTTTGTACTCTTCGCTCTCCATGCTCTCTATGTGCACCTCGAGCCTGTGCGTGGTCTGGTCTGATTTGGACCATCCCAAGACGGCTTTGGTTACGTCAAAGATCTCCCAGCCGCTGTCGGCACCATAGGTTTGCCGCGAGGCTAACTTGCCCTGGTCGAAGCTGGCTTTCCCACTGCCTCCATCTCCTTCTCCTTCAGGAAACTCGTAGACAGTGACCTTACGGTCCACCCCATCGTATATTCTTCTGTCAGCGTCCACCAGGGTGTAAAGCCTGAGCTCCGCCATGGTGACCTCCTCGTGCTGTGGGATGGACACATTGAAGAGGAGGGAATGTTTCCTCACTCCGTTGGTTTGGTTGGGGACTGAAGCCATGTCTGGGGAAAGCACAAAGGAAAGTACGGTTGACGACAGGCATCAAAACCTCCTCGTTTGGGATGAGCTGGACAAAGGTTTCAACAGGAAAAATAATGGGGAATGGGGTTGAATTTGATGTATTCAGGACTGCCATGTTACTCTTCTAAGCCACTGTGGTTTTAGTAATAAAAATAATAATCCTTGCATTTGATACAGCTCCTTATCACGTCTTTGAGACATCAAAGCGCTTCACAGGATATACTGTAAAGTGAATTGACTGCGTATTTTGTGGGCGAAATATAAGGAGAGTCTCTTACAAAAACGAGCGGGGAGAAATGAATTGGGAATTGGGTGAAGCTTTCCTGTTTATGGAGAGGTTCGGGGATCTCCTTTTTAAGGAATTCCTGGCCTCATTTTCCTGGAATATCCCACGTCAATAACAAAAACATTGAGGATAAATGAGCTCGAGCTTGGCATTGGGCTTCCCTGCTGAGGAATGAACGGTTTGTGATTTCAGATGTTTCCGAAGGTAAATAAGCTTTGTGGTCGCCTCGGGAGACTGAGGGATTGTCTTAGGCTGGACCCGAGCACATTCTGAGACACCACTCTTTAAAACTGATCACGTCGGTGCTTTGTTTGAGAAAGGCGTGTGCGAGTTAGCCTTTTGTGGGTTGACAACCTGTGCAAAGGGCATCATAAACAAACCCAGCCAGATCAGATGGCAGGAGTCTGCACAGTTGCACGCTGCTTGGTTGGATCAAAAGCCCCACAGTAAATCCTGCTCCCATTCCAACCCAGACTAACGGAATAGAGTTTGGTCTAAGCGCTCTGCAAACGCTGGGAGTGGAAGCCTCATTCGTTTGGATGGAGAAGATTTGGGCTCTTATCGCTTTGGATATTGACTAAGGTTTGTGCACGTATTTTTTTGTGGGGCGGGGGGAAGGCTTTGTGAGCTGGTTCCGCATATTGTAGTGCACTTGAGTCCTGTAGCATTGGTTAGTGTGTGAGAGGACTCAGGTTCAATTCTCGGGCTGGCAGGGAGAAGCCTAAGGCAAGTTAGTTGTTAGTCGATTGCCGGGTTGTTTTTCCGGGGGTAATAATCTGTGAGACACTCGGTCATTGCACCTAATAAGATAGCGGGGGGGAGGGGGAGCAACGAACATTCACTCCAGACACCAGTTTAGTCCAAAGCAATTCTAAAAGAGATTTGATACTGTTTTCTCTAAAAAAAAAGGGGAGGGAGAGAGAGAGAGAGAGAGAAATCAATAAGTTGGGTCAAAACAGGTTCCTGATGTTACCCACCTTCGTTCCTGAAGCTCCTGACTATGTTGGAGGAAGGCATTGAGGACTTGTCGTTGGCAAACCTATTGTACAGATCCACCATGTACTCTGGGGGCTCAAGGGCTGTGGCTTGTTGGACAGGACGGTTTCCAGACAGGTTCAAGCTCTTGAGGAACTGCCCCTTCATGTGCTCCAGGAGGCTGTTGAAGTCCACAGCACTGTTCTCCTGATAATCGTCCTCGAGCAGGTATCTGCCCTCATCCTCTCTCGCATCCTCCCAGGTGTAGATGGGGCTACAGGCAGACAAAGGCAGCCAGGCACACAGGCAAGCCAACAGTTTCACTGAGAAGACATCCATCCTGCTCTGACCACAAACAATCTATGTCTCGCTGCTGTGTTTGACGGTTGCCTGGTTCGCTGGTGTTTTTATGCTCTTCAGATCCAAGAGCTGGTGTCATTCAAAAGTGAGCTCTCTCTCTCTCCCTCCCTTATGTCTGTGGTCTTTCACTGTCCAGGGAAACAGCTCCCAGTAATTGGTGCAGCCACATTCACATGCCATCTCCCCTTATCTCCCCGGCACATGCAAAGCTCCAGATCTGCCTTTTTTTATCTCTCTTCTTTAATGAGGGTTTTGTAAACAGTACTTTTTTCCTTCTCCAATCCATGGATTTGATGATTTTAAGGGTCGTATTTTTCTTCCTAACATCATGTCTCGTGCCAAATTCTCCCCTCCCTCTTTCCCCCTCCTCCCCCCACCACCCGCTTCTCTGCACGTTAATGTTCCCATTCCAACTCTCCCTGAATTCCCCACCATTTGCTGGGGAAGTGAATTATAATAATAATAATCCTGGTGTTTCATATAGCGGCTTATCAAGTCTTCGAGATGTTTCAAAGAACATACTGTAACGTGAATTGAGTTCAAGTTAATCCACTGTTGCGAACAGTTGAGGTGGAGAGATCAGTCAGCAGACTTTCTTTTTAAACTTAGGTCAACTTTGGGACAAGAACAAATTTTTTATTGCAGTGAATTGATTTGAGGCAAAATAAAAACTTCCAGCATGAGGCTGACTGTGCACAGAAATTGAGGTCGTGTGAGCCAGTGACCCACTCTGCTTACAGTTTATTGACCAGGTAGCAAGGGTTAATTCATAAAATCAGCCTATGTTAATAATAATAATCCTTGCATTTGATACAGCGCCTCATCACGTCTTCAAGACGTCTCAAAGCGCTTCACAGGATACACTGTAAAGTGAATTGACTGTATATTTTGTGGGTGAAACACAGCAGCCAATTGAGCACAGCAGCGTCCCCACAAACAGCAGTGGACTGAAGTGACCAACTTTACCCTCGGAAAAGTGATCCACCAATTGACTAACAACTGTGTTCCTACTCACTGATGGTAAACAGAGGCGGCGTGTGGAGTAAGGAAACTTACCCAATGTTTCGCCCCGCCCGGGAATCGAACCCAGGTCCTCTCGCTTGAGAGTCGAGTGCTCTAACCACTGAGCTACAGGACTCCACTGACTCCATTTACACTGAGGTGGAACATTTCAATGGGACTGTCACAGTGCAGAGCAACAAGAGCAGTTTTCTTCAAGCAAATATTTGGACAGAGGAGAGCGGTCATTGCTTTGTTCGGAGGATGTCTGGTGGAAACGGACATGAAACCAAAGCAGAGGGGGAAAAAACCACGTAAGTTCACTGGGTGAGTTTATAGGCGGGAATCTGGAATAATAATCATAATAATCCTTGCATTTGATCGATCACCTTGTTGAGATGTCACAAAGTGCTTCACGGGATAGACTGTAAAGAGCAGTGACTGTATTTGTTGTGGGTAAACACAGCAACCCAATTTGCGCACAGCAACGTCCCCCAAACACCCAGCAAGTGAATGATCAATTGTTCATTTATCTGTTGGGGATTGTCGGCCAGGACACTCAGTGGGAGAGAGAGAGAGAGAGAGAGAGAGAGAGACTCCTTTCTCTCTTTGAGTGGCAAACGGGCAGACATCTGCGGCCTGCAGCTCGACCCACCCCACCCCGTGCCCCTCTCCTGTTGCAGAAAAACACGCCCAAGTGAAGCTCCCCGCAATTAATTCACCAGTGAGACGCCGTGTTGCACATGTTATCACGCGTGTCACACAGGCAACCAACTCAACAACAACCTGCATTTATACAGCGCCCCTCACACGGGGCAGTGTCCTGGGGCGCTTAAACACCAGCCATGAGTCCCGTTGCGGGCTTTTAATGCATATTTATAATTTCATTTGCGTCATTTTGTTTGGAGAGTTCCTACCGGTCGCTGATGGTTGCGTGGGCGACAGCCGGAGGTAAAGTAAATCCAGGCCCTGAAATGAGATAAGAAAAGCAAAGTGTCACTGACAGAGGTGGCAAGAGACTGGTAGCGACACTCCACAGCAAGTTTCCCACTGTGTTTCCAGGCACGAGGACTCTTTATCAGCAAATCACCCTTGTCCATTGCTTAGTCATCTCAAGAATTCTGCACACAAACAGCTAAGGGCAATACAGGAATGCACAGCACTGAAAAAGACCATTGCTGCTGTGTGTGTGTGACAAAGCTCGAGAGGTTAGAGAGCTGCACAGTTAGAGAGCCAGGAACACAATGCTCTCTCGCACTCTCTGGTCGATCTCCGCACCGCTTCATTCTCGCTTGAATTTGACATAATCTGCACCCACCATTCCGCGGAATCCTGTGGCTCAGGGGTTCGAGCCCTCGCCTCGCAAGCGAGAGGGCCCGGGTTCGATTCCCGGGCGGGTCAGGTCAGGGCGAAACCTTAGGAAAGTTTCCTTACTCCACACACACACACACTTGTTTGCCCAGCAGTAAATAGGAACCTGGTTGTAAATCGATTGGCGGATCGCTTTTTCGAGGGTAATAATCCCATCAAACAAACAATAAAACTTCGGCCACTCAATCCATGACTCTTTGCGGGACACTGCTGAGCACAATTGGCTGCCGCGTTTACACCCACAAATTATACACTGAATTTACTTTACAGGATATTTTGTGAAGCGCTATGAGGCATCTCAAAGATGTGATAAAAGGCGCTAAATCAAATGCAAGGATTATTATTATTATTATTATTATTATAACAGGTTGACACACTACATTATCTTGTGTCAGCCTGGCTTAGTGATAAACCTCTTGCCTCTGAGCCAGAAGGATGTGGATTCAGGCCTTATCACCTCGTTGAAACGTCTCAAAGCGCTTCACATTAAATGCAAAATGTACTGACTGTATATTTTGCGGGCGAAACGCGGGGAATCAATTGCTCCCAGCAGTGTCCCACAAACAGTCATGGATTGAGTGACCGGATTGTAATTATTATTTTATTGGAAGGGATTATTACTCTGGAAAGTGATCTGCCAATCGACTAACAACTGGGTTCCTCCTCACTGCTGCGGAAACAGAGGCGCGCGTGTGTGTGTGTGTGTGTGTGTGTGTAGTGTAAGGAAACTTGTCTAAGGTTTTGCCACGGCTGGGAATCGAGCCCGGATTCTCTCGTTTGCGAGGCGAGCGGTCTAACCACCACCACCACCACCACAACAACACTACAACTCCACGTATCACACTGGAACGCGATCGAGTTTGCGGGGCTCAGACTGAACGTGAACGACACACACACACACACACACTGGGAACCGAAGGCCGCACTGAGCGGTCAATATCAGCATCGCTCAAACGGGGAGGGGGTGGTGGTGGGGTTTGGGGGTGGGGGGGGGGGTGGGTGGTGCAGGACTCGGACACCTCCACAAGATGGCAGTCAACGTCGCTCGAATGCCGCGGAATCTGCCTCGGTTCAGTCTGTGCTGCAGATCGCCAACTCAGCCACAGAGCAATGCAGGTTTCCCACTGTTATTGTAAAAGGAAAGATGCCACTGCAGCTATATATATATATATACACACACACACACACACACAGATAATACAGTGCCACACTACCCCATACTACGCCCACAAAACATACAGTTCACTACACTTGACAGTGTGTTCTGTGAAGCGCTTTGAGACGTCTCGAAGACGCGATAAGGCACTCTTATCAAGCCGAAGGATTACACCTACCATCTAGAGCGTAGTGACTGTTGTCTTACTGTCTTACACGCTTACACACTGTCGAGATCTCATTCGAAGTACGGCAATTCCCACAAAGCAGTGCCCTCCCCCCAGCAATGCATCAGCCCAGCTCTGTGAGGTGAAGCTCTAACGCAGGGGGGCTTAAACCCACTTTTATTCCCCCAAAGGCCAGGACCAGACTGGGACCGTTGCCACGTGGCTTGGCTTGGGTGTCTGGAGACTCGGACACTCACTTCCCGACAGCTCAAACCCCCTGTGAGGAGAAAGCCCGCCCCAAACACAGAGGGATTTTGGCAGGAAATGCTCTCGGCTTATTCTGCTCTGGAGTTACAGTTTCTCGACTGACTGAGTCTTGACCGAGCATTAATCATCCCTTTATTGTTCTTGCAATCTTGGGGGGAATGAGAGAGAGAAAGAGAATAAGAGAGAGGGAGAGAGAGAGAGGGGAAACAGAGGAGAGGGAGAGAGAGGAAGAGAAAGGGGGAAAGAGAGGAGGGGGAGGGAGGTTATGTCGGCAAGCTTCCCAAACACATGGAGAAGTTTAAACATTTCCAACCAAGAGTCATTGCCAACAATGTTAATATCTGTTCCATTGGTTACTGTACTTGATGATGGTTTGTTGCCTTAAGCAGCGTCCCTTTGCAGCTGTTGCTGTGTCCTTAAAAAAACACTGGGGTCCGGTTAAAGGCACTGTGTCATCTCCCTCCCACAGGCAGAGAGGCCGGCATATATTATACAGGAACAGGAGGAGGCCATTCAGTCCCTCGAGCCTGTTCTGCCATTCTGTAAGATCATGGCTGATCTGCACCTCAACTCCCAATTAACCGCCTTTGCCCCTTATCCCTTGATCCCCCGACCGAACAAACACCTAACCACCTCAGTCTTGGAAAATGTGAATGGATTCAGACATAATCCACAGCCTTTTGGGGGGAGAGAGAGAGAGAGAGAGAGTTCCAGGTTCACACTTTGCGTAAAAAAATGCCTCCTGATTTCACTCTTAAATGGCCTGGCTCTAATTTTAAGGTGATGCCACTGCTTGTTCTGGATTCCCCCGAGAGGGAGGGAGGGAGGGAGGACCAGAGGAAACTGTCAAGGCAGCAGGGCAGAATGCCACAGACTCTGGGAGGTGATATTTTAATGCAACTTTTATGGAAATAATTGCGTTACTTCACCACTGCTGGAACCCTGCCCACTACAACAGGCAGATCAGAGAATACAGCAACTCATAGCAAGCGAGGAGTTAGCGAACAGAGATCATGCACCTTCACGTAAACACAAGGGAGGATGTTGGGGATAAACATGGACTCGGTGGGCTGAATAATGACTTGTTTTGCTGCTGTGCAGTCTCTGTCATTGACAGCCGGGTCAGAGCAGGTTACACTCGGTGTTAAGATGTCAAAGGCTCTAACCTAGAACAATAGTGGAGGCAAACTCCATCCAGTTTGTCAGGAGGAATTCAAAAATGTTTCGGTCAGCCGCAGAAACCCATCACCGTTGCTTAAGAGTCTCCAAACCCAACTGAGAATTCCAGGCCTCCCACCCACACATGGAAATCCTAGAGGTAGCTTGCAGGAATGGAATGCGTTCTCTCTCTCTCCCTCTCCCTGGAGGAATGCACACTGCTTACCTAATTCCAGAGAGTATTAGGCGCAGGTTGGCAAGAACCAAGGGAGCAGAGAGTGTGTTGGGGTAACTGCTGGAGTCTAACCAGCTAAAACCACGCAGCTTGCCATTGATATCACTATACTCTGGGTGGTGGTGGGGGGGAGGTTAGTGGGGTCTCCTTAGAGCTAAACTGGCTCCGAGGGTGACATACCTGGCAACGGAATGTCAGAATCGAGCCCTCTGTGACGGTCTCTCGTCCCCGGTCCCTGAGCCAGGAGGGGCCGCAGTATTCCAGGGCGCTCACCGCTGATGGCAGCCCAGCCCGGCCCGGCTCATCGGTAGATAAATACCGTAACAGCACGAAAAGGGCGAGGGAAGGGCCAGGATAATGGGAGCAGAGAGAGAGAGAGAGAGAGAGAGAGACAGCCCCCTTTTGTGCAGTAAATCATTGTGATTCTGCGGATGAAAATCGACCACAAACATTTCTGGATTTCGACAAACTCTCAGTGCATTCAGGTCCTGGCCACAAGGTGGTGATCTCACCGCAGAACCGGAGACCCTAACTTTTCCCCTTAAAGATTACTGCGCTTTATGGCACACTTAACAGTTTGGGGCATCTCAGCACCACAAAACAAGGGCTAGGTTTCCCCCTCTTCTCTGCTGTGTGCTGAGTTTGTTTTCTTTGGGTGGAAGACAACAAGGCTCTGTAATAATTAAACAGAGCATTGGATGGGACCTGCACTGTGGTCAGAGATCATTGAAGAGGGAGAGAAAGAGAGAGATAGAGGGATTTGGAGACTGTCTCATTGTCTCAAGGCTTTGCAGAGGGGAGTGTGTGTGTGTGGAGGTGGATGTGGGGGGAGAAAGCCCTGTATTTTTGGATGGCTGATGGTCAAAGCTCTCACAGAGAGTCATCTTGCACCCTTTCCAAGATCGGCCACTCTTTGTGGAAATAATGGGATTATCAAAGCCAACTGCTTGCAGAGCAATGCTGAAATTCGCCCTCCTCTCAACTCTCCTTTGCTTCTACAATGCACAGAGTGAACAAAGCACCAATAGCCCTTCCTGCTATGGGGGATTTGATCTGTACTTTGTCTTAGACAAGTAAGTGGACATTTTTACTACTTCGCCTTTCCTCTCCTCTATCTCCAAACAGCCATCTATAACCAGCTGTCCTTTGTTCCGTTCAGAAACTTCAGTGGTCAGGTTTAAAAACGTTGGTAACTTTTTGAGAGAGGGTGAGGGGGGGTTAAAAAGTGGTGCATTCGATGGGATTTTACTTTAATTTTAATCATCATTTGGCTGAATCAGTATTTGATTTTTTTTTAATGCGCCAACATTTCATTGAACCTTCGAAACTTATACCAAACTTTGAATCTTACTCGTGAGCAGAAATAAATAAGTAATAACAATCCTTGCAGTTGATACAGCGCATTATCACGTCTTCGAGAGTCTCAAAGCGCTTCACTGTAAAGTGATTTGACTGTGTATTTTGTGGGCGAAACGTGTTGAAACAGAAAGTTATTTTTCTGGCTTTTAAATAAAATTGAACAATGAAGTTTGCTTCTTCCCACTCAGCCCAGGTATAACTAACTGCACGTTCGACGGTGACATCTCAAGTTAATCAGTACTTTAATTGTTATTTGTTAACCCGCAAGTTGGTTCAGTTCAATTCAATTCGGCTGATGTCAGCACTGAGGACAATTCTTTCTCATTGAGTTCCCAGATGTGCCTTAAAATTGCAGTCACATCCTGCGCTGGGGCCCATAAGGTACCAAATACAGTAAACTGAATGAAGAAACAAAAAAAGCTTTTAACTCGTTAAAGGTTGTCTGGTATTGGGAGTTTGGAGAGAGAGAGAGAGAGAGAGAGAGAGGGCGACTTATTATTCTTGTGTTTAAGGAAAAAATGGATTATGTGAATAATAATATTGTTATTAACTGCAATGTTATTATTATAAACTACATTATAAACTGGAATGTGCTGCCTGAGAGGGTGGTGGAAGCAGCTTTGATCGCTTTCAAAAGGGAATTGTAATAATAATAGTCTTTTCATTTGATATTGTGGTGTATCACGACTTTGAGACGTCTCAAAGCGTTTCACAGAAGTAAAGTCAATTGACTGTATATTTTGTGGGTTGAATTGGATATATGTTCGAAAAAAAATGTGCCGAGCTATGAGGAAAGAGCGGGGGAGTGGGACTAGTTGGTAGCTCTTTCAAAGAGCTGGCACAGGCACGATGGGATGAATGGCCTCACTGCATGCTGTAAGATTCTATAATAATAATCCTTGCATTTTGTATTTCACATTGGGAGGATGTCGCAAAGCATCTCACAGTAAAGTGTAGTCACTGTGCATTTTTAACATTCAGTTTCAATAGAAAGACAATGCATAGACCATTCACTTAATTTCTAGCCCGTTACACCTGTATTTTTACTCGATTATACGGCGCAATTATAAGTGCAAGTTAACACTGTTATCAACGATAGCTTCACGTGGGAACGTGAAGGCTTTAGGGAACAGGGACTGGAGTAATTGAGGGTGAGCAAGGAAGCAAAATTATAGAGTGTGTTTGTGCCTTTGAATTGACAATGGTTACATAAAGCAATACACATAGAATTATACAGTGTGGGACAAATAAAGCATTATGTGGGCTATGGGCTGTTAAGAGCTCTGTGTTTTGGGGGGGGTTTCAATTTGGTTGACATGTTGGTGTAGATTCCGTTATGTGGCACAGGCAAGAACTGGCAATGTTGCTCGATTAAAGTTGTGCAAAGCCAGTTCCCATGTGGTTTCCGATTGCATGTTGCTGGATTCTCTCCCCCCCACCCCCTCCCCTTGTTGCAGGGCGGGCGGGGGTGGAGAGCGAATCCAGATGGGATTCTGATCTCTTGCACTGAACAAAGAAGCTGAAAGCCTGAGGTGAAATGTGCAGCGACGTGTGTGTGTTTTTGTATGTATATTGGTGTCAATATATGAGGGGGGGGGGGGAAGTATAGGTGAAGAAAATAGGAGGGGTGGGGGCTTGTGTGGGGTATCGACATCCATTGGCAGTTGGGCTGAATGGCCTGTTTCCTTACCGTTTCATGTGTGTGAACTACAGAGTTGTAGACAGTCTGGTGAAGCGAATGGGTAATAATAATAATAATCCTTGCATTTGATATAGCGCTTTTCACGTCGGGTAGAAGATTTAGGGAGGGGGAGGGGGGTAGGGAGGGGAGGGGAGGGGAGGGGAGGAAAGGCGAAAGAATCTCACCGGCTAGGTCCCAGTGCTGGCCTGCCCTTCCATTGAGGATTGAGCGGATGGCTTTTCTGGGTGTAATAAGCCCTTCAAAAAAAAATGATTTGGTCGCTTGAAATTCACGGCTGTTTGTGGGGACGCTGCTGTGCGCAATTGGCTGCTGCGTTTCGCCCACAAAATATACCTTGTGACCGTCAGGCTGTGATCTGACATCTACTTTTTCCTCCCGCGCTCTCTCCTCTCTCTCTCGCATATATTGACACCAATACGCACACACACACACAAGTTGTTGTGCCGGCCTCAAAGCAGTGACTCCGAGCTTAGCGTCAGCATTGAGTTGGCACAGGGGAAGGAATTGACATTGCAATGCGAGTCCATTCATGAACTCCCTCTGTTGTGATGTGAGGGGTTGCCTCAGAGGGGAAGGTCAGGTACCTGACCTCCTGGTGGAACCCAAAACTGCTGTACTTGTACAAATCTGTGTACTGTCCTTGCTGGAAGCTCTGGCTACGAGGCACATGATCGACGGCGCTGGTTCCAATTAAGACACAAGTATCCACAACAACATGCGTCACGAAAGGAAGGACACTGCACGCTGGCTGGGAAACTGGGAGAATCTCGCTACGCTTTAACCTGTTCCCTGAACGGGTTAAAGTCTCATCGGAAGCACGGCGCCTCCGAGAACACACCGCAGCACTGAAGCGTCAGCCCGCACACTGTGAGATCCAAGGCCCAACACAGCCGGGCTGACATGTAAGGGTGATGTCTCAAAGCACTTTGCAAGGACAGGGGCTAGGTTTGAAGACAGAAAGAGAGAGAGAGAGAGAGAGAGGGGGCGAGATGGAGGGTTAGCGAGCGTTTCCTGAGGTTAGCTGAAGGCTCGGCCTCTCCAATCGCTTTATGGGAGAAATCACAGAGCGTTGTCGGAGAAACAATCGAGAAAGAGGAGTATAAGTGGCTGTGGGAGCGAACAACAACAGCACCTTCGCGTGGGGTAGTGTCGGAGCGAGTGCTTAACAGTGGCCGAGCCTGATCCCGAGCCGGGGGGGGGGGGGGGAGAGGGAGGGGACTGTACACCAGCTTTTTAGCAGATGTGCTCCAAGCTAACACATTGTCTGACCACTTCCTCACACCATTAACTGCCTTGGTCTAGACTCGGTCTAACACTGGAAAACCTCACACTCCAGGATAGGCAGATAGGGACGCCATTCTCTGATCCCAAGGCAGTATCTCCTGGCAGACAAAATCGCCTAAGCTCTATCCACGCACGTTACGTGCCAGATAAAGGCCGGTTTAGTGGATTATTACAAGGGACCACCCAGAGCAGGGGTGGAGGCAGATGATGGTGGCTGAATTCCGGAGGGAATTAGATAGCTATTTGGCGATAAAATCACTTGACAAGGTATGAGACATAGAGAAGAATCATTTTCTTTAGCCTGTGTTTTCCAATTCCGCGCTGCAGTGGTTGAGTTCATTTCGAGGAAGAGGTCATTGGAGAATATCTTGAAGAATAGAAAGAACAGAGCAGGAATGCATCAGTTTCAAGTCATTCCGAATAGTTTTCTTGTGAAGCCGCGAATACTGAATAATCTTGGGGGGATTGTTGGCCACGACGTCGGGAGAGAGAAACTCCCTTTTCTTTTCCAATCGGACCTTTAACATCCATCTGTAAAGGGCAGTGGAAATCTGGAATGCGCTCTCTCTCTCCTCCCAAAAGGCTGTGGATGCTGAATCCATTCACATTTTCAAGACGGAAAAGAGGAAAAATGTTTGTTAGGTCAGGGTATCAAGAGATGTCAGGCAAAGGCGAGTAATTGGGAGTTGAGATACAAGTCACCCATGATTTTATAGAATGGCAGAACAGGCTCAAGGGGTTGAATGGCCTCCTCCTGTTCCTATATTCTGTTTATATCTGAATAGGCACAGACGGACCTTGGTTCACAGATTCATCTGAAGGACAACACCTCCGACAATGCAGTGCTGGAGTTTCAGCCAAGGGGCTGAGCTAACACCTCTCAAACCTCGGTTTCTTGGTCTTTGTGTTGCAAAGTTGACAAGTGTACATTCAGAGCTGTGGTTTGCTGTTGCAGCGAGAGAGGCCACCTCACTCCGCCTTGTCAATCCACTTCTCACTTCTCCGTTTCAGTGGAGAGAAATTATTCCATAAAGAATCAAAAGGTTATGAATAATAATTGGGTCACTTCAATCCACAACTGTTTGTGGCGCCTAAAAGGGTTAAGTTACGAGGAAAGGCTGTGTAAACGTGGATCGTGTTCCCTTGAGTTTAGAAGGTTGAGGGGGGATTTGATTGAGGTGTTTAAGATGGTAAAGGGATTTGTTAGGATAGATAGAGAGAAGCTATTTCCTCTGGTGCGGAATCCAAAACAAGGGGCATAGTATGAAAATTAGAACCAGGCCATTTAAGACTGAAATCAGGACCATTTTTTCACTCAAAGGGGGTAGAAATCTGGAATTGTCTCCCCCAAAAAGGCCGTGGATGCTGAATCCATCCACACCTTCAAGAGTGAGGTTGACAGATTGTTGGTAGATCAGGGTATCAAGGGATGTGGGGAGAAAGCAGGAAATTGGAATTGAAAGGATTACTTGAGGTACAGATCAGCCAAGATCTAATTACATGGCGGAACAGGCTCGAAGGGCTGAATGGCCTGGTCCTGTTCCTCTGTTCCTAGGACACCGGGAAAGAGAGAAAGAAACTCCCTTACCTTTTCGAATTGTGCCACATGAACAGGCAGAAGGTTTAACAGTTTACATCTCATCCAAAGGACGGCACCTCTGACAATGCAACACCCCCAGAGCTGTATTAGAGCGTCAGCTTAGACTGTGTGATTGCAAGTCCTGACGT